ACGGATCAAGTCTGTCTGTCCCTATCATGGCACGGACATTCCTCAATTGAAAACAGACTACAAAAAGTCATTTCTCTGATTAGTGATATCGATACTCTCCCTTAGTGTACGTTCGACTTGGTTCCCAGGCCCCTGTCCTAGCATAAACCATCTGTAAATGCCAAAGTCCACCCCGGTGGTCTGCATGGACATTCATCAATGGACAACCGACAACAAAAAGTCATTACTCTGTACTCTTATTCATGATACCCATACTTTCCCTTAGCGATGTACCCTTTGTCGGCTTGGTTGCCCATCTATAATTGCCAAAGTCGACCCTTGCCTCTCTATTGTCACGTTTACCTGCACCCAGACTAAACTCTCTACAATACCTAATTAACGTTTTTTTTTTCTTTTCCATGCTTGGATTCCCAGCTGATGTAGCTCTTTACCCACATCATCCATCCATTCATCTAAGCCTAGGTTTGCCCTTGAGCCATTTTCCTCTGGGGTTTTGGTGATGTACCCTCTTTCCTCCTCTGTCACTTAACATTCTTTTAAAGTGTCCCGCCCAGCGTAGCCTACCCTTTTTTTATATTTCTGCTACTGGTGTGTGAACCTGATATAGACTGTACAGTTCCTGGTTGGTTCGTATTCTCCCATCCATATTTATCCTTTGTGGGTCTATATACTTTCGTTAGAACTTTTTATTTTCCCATGAGTTTAATAGGTTTTCTGCCGTTTTTGACAGGACCCAAGTTTCACTCGCGTATTTCACAACTACAAATACATGGATTATTTATAAAATTGGAAATATACAGGACGCTTAACCGAGTTTTATATCCGATTTATCGACGATTGTACCTGCAATGACCACAATGATGAGGGGTGAACTCGAACTTTTCATAAATCTAGCGGCATTTTCCACCCTTCCTTTAAATTTACATCACTGGTATATGAGAGTTCCGCAAAAATCTTGGTTATAACTGTAAATTTACAAGCAGATGTTTTATACAGCTCTGCCTGTCACAAAGCTACTGACAGCCAGATTTTTTTTATCCACCTCTGCCTATTAAAAAACTTACTGACAGCCAGATATTTTATCTACCTCTGCCTGCCACAAGCCTACTGACAGCCATATTTTTTATCCACCTCCGCCTGTCACAAGCCTACTCACATCCAGTTGTTTTAACCACCTGTGCCTGTCACAAACCTACTGACAGCCAGATGGTTTAACCAAACTTGACATGACGTATCGTCCTCACAATCTCGATGCTAAACATATTTTCCCAGAAAAAAAATGATATCATTCTAGCTGACCCAGAGGCATACAACATTTTACCATTACCAGTTCTTGCAGTACTTAGAAGCGATAGGAATTCGAGCGATCTTCTCCACCTCAGAGTCAACCCCTCCAATTTTGTAACTAACGAAACAAACACATGAAGTCGTAATTGTAGCCACCGTAACACCGACCCTTACACTTACACTATTCAGAACAAGCAAATTGACTTCACTAATGGTTCTTTTTCCTATAAAAAGATGGGTTCTTCTGTATCAGCCGTAATATTGTGTACACAATAGTATGTAAACGATGCCGAAAATGCTACGTTGGTGAGACGCGGCAACGGCTGGCTGATAGGTTCAGTGAGCATCTACGTAAAATTGCTTAGTAGCAAACAATGTTCCGTCTCTTCTCACTTCAAAAGAAGTGGTCATTATGGCTCGACACATGATACACACCTATGGGACCCCGACACCACACAGGTCTAGATATTTTCCCTTTCACTGGGTGACACTTAATCTCTGTCATCGCCCCTTAACACCTTATGATTAATTACCGCGAAGTTAATTTTATTTCTACCCCATGACCTTAATACTTGCTATAGTTGTGATTTTGTGGAACCATCTGAAGTTAAATTTTCTGCGCACAAAACTAATCATTAAGGATTAAAGTCTTGACTGAATCTTTCTTTCCTGACCACCGTGTTTCTGAACCACACAAAGTATGAAAATTATACCCTGATTAATCTCTCTCTCTCTATCTCTGTGTTTTTCTCTCTCTGTCTCTATATGTCTCTCTTTCCCTGTCTGTCTCCCTGTGTCTATCTCTCCTTGTCTATCTCTCACTCTTGCTCTCTCTCTTGCTATCATCTTTCTCTCTCTTCTCTCTCTCTCACCCTGTCTCTTTCCTTCACAATCTCTTTTGCCCTCACTCACTCTCTCTCTCACTCTCTCTCTCTCTGTGTAAGCCTAGACTCTTTTAAAATATCTGTAGTTAAAGCAAGAGCCAATTCGGCTCTTGTGTTCTTTCCTTAATATTCGGCTCCATACCCGACCTCCGTGCTAACCTTGCTTAGGCAGTACTCGCTGTTCAATAGCAGTCTTTGATTCCCACCTTATTTAATGATTTTATCTATTTCTAATCTTTCAAGTTTTCTGTTAATCTCATGAGCATTAATCTCATGCGTGTTAATCTCTTGCGGACATTCTTTGATTTCATGGGTCACTTCCGTAGTTTAATGCACGACTTTGTCTCTACCTTGAACTGTTTTTTGCTGTCGTAGGCTTTTTGGCCGAAACGTTACTGTTCTGTTACTGTCCTCCATCAGGTTTCCCTCTACCCTTTGTATATTTCTAATGGCTTCAACCTCAACGCACTCCTCCCCGTATTTCTCTTACAATAGTGTCACGTTCCTTAGCTCCTCCCTTTTTTGCGGCGCTGACAACACTGCTGACCCCGCCTACAAAAATCAATAACTCTCCAATGAGAGTTTCTTACTTGAGCCCCTGGCCTGGACAAACCGGTTCAACGCAGCAGTCGGTTTTGGTGAGGGGGGGGGGGTTGGAAACGGTGTTTGACTAAATAAGGACAAGAACGGTTATAAGATGTGCTTGATCTCCAAGCTTGGCATACGTCATCAGACGTGGCGTGAGGTGGTGGATGAGGTGGTGGGAGGTGTAAGACATTGGGGGGGGGGGGTTGGGGTAATAAGAGATGGGGGGGTGGGGTGTGTAAAAATTGTTTTTTAACTTAATGGCAGTTGTCATGACGTCACGATTTGTCAGATACATTTCATGAACAATTTAAAAAAAAGAAAGACCCCTGGCTATGATTCTCTCTCTCTCTCTCTCCAAGGCACACACATACACATACACACACACAGACACACACACACACAAACACAAACACACATAGAAACACACACATAGGCACCCACACACAAACACAAACACACATAGAAACACACACATAGGCACCCACACACAAACACACACACATAGAAACACACACACACAGATACACACAGACACACACACACACACACACAGAAACACACACACACAGAAACACACACACAAACACATACACACAAACACACACACAGAAACACACATACAAACATAGAAACACACACAGACACACACACAAAGACACACACATAAACACACACATAAACACACACACAGACACACACACATAGAAACACACACACACACACACGCACATGCACACACAAACAGACACAAACACACACACACAAACACACACAAACACACAAACACACAGAAACACACACACACACAAACACACACACACATAGAAACACACACACAGACACACACACGCACACGCACGCAGGCTCGCACACAAATCATGAACAGAAAAAATAAATACTCCTGCTGGATTTGCCAAGGCCAAGGCGAAGGCTCTGGTTAAAAAAATAATAGCGAAAAGAGAAAAACAAAACAAACTATCAACAACGCACAAACACACGAACAACCCAATAATCATATCAAAATGAGAATAGCGGGCTATAGCAGTGAACACAAAAATATCAACTTCACTGTCACTAATCGTAGATCCATCGTATTTTTTTTTAACACGCATGCGATGCAATCATCAGGTCGTCGTTCACTTTATGCGGCCCACGAGCATCCACTTTGCGGCCCGCCAGCAACCACTTTGCGGCCCGCCCGCCAGCAACCACTTTGCGGCCCGCCAGCAACCACTTTGCGGCCCGTCAGCAACCACTTTGCGGCCCGCCCGCCAGCAACCACTTTGCGGCCCGCCAGCACCCACTTGCCGGCCCGCCAGCAACCACTTTGCGGCCCGCCAGCAACCACTTTGCGGCCCGCCAGCAACCACTTTGCGGCCCGTCAGCAACCACTTTGCGGCCCGCCAGCAACCACTTTGCGGCCCCCGCGAAGTATCAAAATATTCTTTATTCTTATTATTTTCTTTATAGCTTTCCCCCCATATCCTATTTTTTTTCCCCCGAACAAGTCCTGACATATTTTCTTTTGGACCGCACAAGTTTTCCATATAACATCACGGCCCACCTTACATTTTGAGCTGTGCAGGCCTGATCTACACTGACAAAAGATATTAGCAAATATTTGTATATTCATTATGAAAGACATTTTTTTTTTTCGATCCTCGAACTAAGACTTGAGTAAAATAAAAACAAAATGTAAGCTGAAACTTTTGAAGGGACGACGCTTAGTAGCTTTGATACTTTTTTTTTTTTAAAATCAAGCCAGCGGTTCTTAATATTTGGTCTGCAATGACTACCATGGCGACATGGTGAAATGTAAGTCAAAATAGTAGCCCGAGAAGTGATTGTAACCGAAAAGATTTTATATTAAAAAAGCCACCAAGGTATGTAACGTAGCATCAAACAGCGTCAAATATTTCGACTGTTACTTTAATTCTTTTCAAATATCGTCAAATATTTCATCAACTCCGGCCTACTCCAATCTACTCCGGCCTACTCCAACCTACTCCGGCCTACTCCAACCTACCCCCGGCCTACTCCAACCTACCCCGGCCTACTCCAACCTACCCCCGGCCTACTCCAACCTACCCCCGGCCTACTCCGACCTACCCCCGGCCAACTCCAACCTATATATGGAAGGGTTTGGCGGAGCAGGGGTGGAACGGTGTGGCGGAGTATAGATGGAAGGACGGGGCGGAGCTGTGGTGGACGGCTTTGCGGAGCATTGATGAAACGGTGTTGCGGAGCATGGATTGAGAGGCGCGGCGGAGCAACCCGGTGCCCTACACGGGCGGAAGTGACATTGATGATGATGATGTTTATTTTGTAATGATAAAATAAGAGGAGGGACACGACACCTGCTAAGTCTTAGAACCGTTTATTTGACGTTCCTAGTCGCCCGTGCTTGTACAAACACAACACATCTCCAGTTCTAGACGTCGTTGCTGTCTGCAAGTATTCTGGAATGACGCGGGCTCCAAAGACGAAGATCGATTTCTATCAAACAAGCCCCACTTTTTTATTCTACTTTAAAAAAAAAAAATCACTGGATTCTCACTTGGAATTTTTCAAATAGTGTTGAAGGCCGAACAATTTTGTGTGTGCTGAATACTCGTTATTTCATGCGATAAACGCTGTGCCTCGCTAACTGTTTTTCAACGTAAAAGAAAAAAAGTAAGTTTTATCTTTAAAAAAAAATAAATAAATTTCCATCAAAGTTAACACTGGTGCGTTGCAAACGGCTGTCTTTGACAGTGAATGCCTTGCAATTTTTAAATCGAATAGTAACTCTCTTAATAATGAGGTTGATATAATTTGCGCTTGATAAAGACATTTAGATGGCTTGTGTTTAAAGTGTTGTTTAAAAATGTTTCCCTTTGTGCTTATAATGAATATTGAAAAGCTTTTCTTTATAAAAGAGAACCAACAAAATTTCATGGATTTTTGTTGTTGTTGTTGGCCATTTTTATTGTCATTGTTAATGTCGTTGTTTTGTTATTATCACTTTTATTATAAATATATTATTATTTATGTGAATATGATGATTATTATTTTGAACTGTTGCAAACTGTTATGCTGTAAATTTTAACTGAGCGAAATCCTTATAATAGTATGTCCTTCTACTAAAAAAAAAATTAAACAAATTAATAATAAATCATAAACATATCTCCTAATGTGACAGACTTTAACGCGACCCACAGACAGACATATTTCACTGTCGTCCGCCATTTCATTATATACAGTCAATTCTTAATAGACTGACGTTTCATTGCAGGCTGACATTTCATTGCGCCCAGCTGTTTCTTTAAAGAATGACTTTCCATTGAAGACCAACCATAGGATTGTCAAATGTAAGTGACTAAATCATTACATGACACTTTAAACATTTAATGACAATAGTTTTTCAGTCATTTATATCTTTTTTGTTTTGTTACACAGAAAAGTGTGTGTGTGTGTTGCCTCACTGGCAAGAACAGACAGAGGAAACATAATAATAAACCATCTTGGGGGCTGGATCCTATTGGCTGACCACACGACGAAAATTCACCAACAACTGAAAGCTGACCAAACGGGCGTTGCTACTTACTGACCACACGTCAAAACATCACAAACATGTCGAAGCTGACCAACCTGCCATTCGCATTTATTGTTTCCACAATTTCTCAGAAAGTTTGGCACGGAAGAGCCAAGTTCCTGACTGTGACAGTCGCCTTCGCGTTACTCGTGTACATGATAATCTTTGTCATTCCGGTACGCAACGTTGTATTTTACCCAGTGATTGAGAAGGCTTGGCGTCAGGTCAAGACCTCGGACATTTTAAAAATCCATTACGGTGAGCTCAAAATCCCGGACGGGATCTTTTCCATTGTCTCGTGTCCAGTTTTGCTGGAAACTCCTGTCAATATAAGTGACGTCAACACGTCAGCCATTTTGACTTACGATTATCTGCGAGATCCGGAAGTAGTAAGGAGAGTTTTAGAGAAAGGCCACGGACAGTTCCTGCCGGTCCTGAACCTCAGCCAGAAGATCGAGAATTTCTATTTGTACAAAGTCGCAGCTGCGGCCCTCGACTCGGTGGACGTGAGACATTTCATAGTGGCCGGGGCCTTGCTGGGCCTTAGCAGACACAGGGGTCTCATCCCTTGGGACGACGACATAGACATTGTAGTGAGCTTTGATTCGTGGGAGCTGGTCAAGCAGGCTCTGTCGTGCATCCGAGGGTTTAGGCTGTTCAAAGGAAACGCGATTCATTGGAGTTTGAAATACTTGGGCAGGGATTACCCTTTCGTGGACATCCTCTTCTACGACAAGGATGACGCTTTCGTGTGGGCGATAACGTGGTACTCCCGCGGTACAGTTTTTTATCCCACGGCCGATGTTTTCCCTTTGGTCGAGTCCACGTTTGAGGGTGTGAAGGTTCCGGTTCCTAGACACGCTATCAAAATAGCAAAACAGATTTATAATTACGATGACTGCGTCGTCTACAGGGGACACACACAGCGATTTCAGAGTTTGATAGAGACTTATCCGAAAGGCTATCTAGTGAGTGAGGTACCCTGTACAGAATTATCATACATGTATTCAATGTTTAACTTAGGCGAGTCTTAAATAAAAGAATGCGTTAGGTTTGCGTTGTATTCTGTCTCATTTAGCAATTTTTAGAACTACTTTAAAAAAAAGTATACTTACTTACCGAATATAAATTAAAGGCAAATATATTTTAGCTCATTAGCAAAAAAAAACTTGCGTGATTATCGATCAAAGTTAAAAATGAATTGTTGAATAATATTTAAGTCATTGAGGAAAAAAAAATCGAAAATGAATAGCTGTTTTGAATATTGATTGCACGAATGAATACAATCTGTTATGACATGAATAAGATGTCTCTTCATTCCGTCCCCACCTTTTGACTAGATGTTCTAAATATCAATAAGAATTCTTTTCTTAAAGTGTATTTTCAATGTACTAATTTATTCTTGAAATCATGTACAATTATCTACAGCAGCTAGTGGATTCATAACTTCTCGGTATTCGGTGCCGTGGCCGAATCCTAGTTTGTTCCCAAAGGCGTTCATTGTTTAAAATGACGCCCAACGACACGAACATCAATTGAACAGCACCAAGCACAAAATGTTTAGTATAAATCAATCATATGCGGTTTAAAAATCTATTTTTTTATTGTGTATTATATTCTAATGTCCCACCCGCTATTTCACCGCTTGTTTATTTCACTAATTAGTTCAGGAAAAAAAAAGAATAAAATATTGCGCACCAAACGCACGTGCGATATTTTTTGTTTTGTTTAGGTATCTCATTTAGCGCAGCTATCGGGAATGTTATTTTGTGAAATTATTTTGATCATATTTCGTTCATCTTTCCCCTTGAAAAACAGGAGAAACGGATCTTTTTGATTGTTTGGTGGCGAGGCTGAAAAAATTGATAGGACGCGTCGTCATCGGCATCGAGTCTTTGTGCCCAATTTCAGCTCGATAGATTGACGGGAAATGGGTCAGTTAGCCGTCTGAAGACTTTTGAACTATTCACACAAAAGCGAGGTTACTCTAAAGGATTGAATTCTATATTTAAATACAAACAAACAGCACAATTTTCCGATAACAAGAAAGTTGGGGAAACTGTCTCAAGCAATAACTTACACTCTCTTAGACCACCATTTAGTGGTGTCGAGAAAACAGATAGTGTTGAGTTAGTGACTGGATGGCATCAGAAACCCCTAGATTCCGCGTCCTGTATCATTGAATTAAAAATGTGGACATTTTAAAAAAAAAATGATTTTTAAAAAGCCTTTTGCGGCAAGAATTTGTGTAAATCTACGCCCCCCCCCCCCCTAGGGCACTCCGATCTACTGTTTGATAAAAAAAATTAGACTATAGTATTATATAAGAATTTGTGGTAAAGTAATAGAAATCCAGTTGATAGGACTATCATGACCTTGCAGATTTGGGGTGGGAGGGGTGCACTGGACTGTAGGGTGAGTGGGGGGGGGGAGGAAGCAATTTCCAACCTTAGTTAAAGGAGGAATAAATACACCCCAACCGGGATTTTAATTCCCTTTAATAACTTATAAATAGGGTAAACGGAAAAAAAATGCTTATCAAAAAAAAAAAAAAAAAAAAATCATTGCT